TAGTAGTGTAAGGTAGTAGCAGCAGCAGCAGTAGTAGTAGTAGTATAGTAGTACTAGTAGTAGTAGTAATAGTTTAGTAGTAGTAGTAGTAGTAGTAGTAGTAGTAGTAGTAGTAGTAGTAGTCGTAGTCGTAGTCGTAGTCGTAGTCGTAGTCGTAGTCGTAGTCGTAGTCGTAGTCGTAGTCGTAGTCGTAGTCGTAGTCGTAGTCGTAGTCGTAGTCGTCGGAGTCGCAGTCGGAGTCGGAGTCGTAGTCGTAGTCGTAGTCGTGGTAGGGGCACCAGGAGGAGTACATTGAGGAGAGGGAGGAGGAGGAAGAGGAGGACGAGGAGTAGGATGAGGAGACGGACCAGGGTTCGGTTTCCCACGGACATCCGCCGTTTGTGCTATTCTTTCGAGGTTCGCGTGTGTGCCGACATGCTTTCTGTTCGCGACTCTGTGAGGTTGCAGCGCAGATGGCAAACCACACAAGCATGATGCACGCGCTGAAAGATGCTTGCGAACAGTCCACCACATCGTTCTGCAACCGTTCGCCGTATGGCCAGAGCTTCGCAGAGTTCGTCATCCTTGCTATTTCTGCCGCCTCTACCATGCCGAGGTTCGAGTTGACGGACGATCTGGGCTTGTTTGGACGCCTGGTGCGGTCTCGTGAGGGTTTGGCACAAACTCTGTCCAGGACCGCTTTTCTATCAGAGCAGTTTGCCTGTCTTGCTGCCGACCGTGTCCGATTATTTGTCTCTCGCGTTGCCAGCGAATACGTCCTCCATTCCATGGCTGCTGCTCTTCGTTCGTCCAGTCCCCGCTTGGGATGGAGCGGTGGTGATTCATTCTCCTTGTCCTCCCCATACTTGTTTGAACGACTCGAGGACGGAGAGGGCGAGAGGGATGGATCACCACCGAGCCACCCCAGCGAGGATGATGCCCCTGGAGCCCCACAGCAGGTAAAGCACGCGCAACAACCTCGACCCTCATCCCTTTCTCATCATAGACAGCTTTTCCCTGCCGCGCCCCCAGACGTGTTGGTAGGGCGGGCCGGGCGCTTCGCCTGAGACCTCACGATTTGTTATGAACCTGAAATTTGAAATTCACAACAGTTGCACGGATGGGGCGCAGGTCGTGTTCAAAACGGGGTTTTCGCCTCAGCACCGCGCGAATCCGCTGTCATTCTTGGCAGCACTTGTGCGGTTGGAGCACAGGCTGTTTTTTCAGGTGGGGCCCTCGCTCCAGCGTCGCGGACAATCGTCGTAGCAGTTGGCACCCATTGTACGGAGGGGGAACAAGTTGGTTCCCGAATGGGCTCCCACCTCGGGGCCGCGCACATTTGCCTTGAAAGCTTGCAGCAGTTGCTAGGAGTAAAGGTGGCTCCTTTCCAACATGGGATTCTCGTCTCAATGCAGCGCACAACCGTCTCACGAGTCTGCACCAGCTGTACGGGTGGAGCACGGGCCGTTTTCAGAGGGGGCCTTTCGTCTCAGCCCCGCGCGTACTCGTCTTGCCGGTTTACAGCAGGGATAAGGACGGAGGCTTGTTCCTTCTCGAGAGGGGGCTATCGCTTGAGACGTCCTGGGCTTTTCTGGCACAAGACGCCCCTCAGCAGGTTTAGCAGCTGCGCGGACGGAGCGCGGCCCCGTGTCGGAGGGATGCTCGCCACGAGGGTGCTCTCGCTCGACGTGTCCTCGAAGCTCATGGCCAGACGCGGAGGCTGTGCAGCAGCTACACAGATGGCGGGCTGTCCTGCTTCAAAGCGCGTATCGTCGACAGTGGTGTTCTTCGCACGCATGCTTCGGCCCTTCGCCCTCCCCCCTCCCCCCAAATCTGATGTCGGGGACATGCGAGAACGAGCTCCTGTAGGTTCCCCAGGCGCCCGACAGAATGTTGCACCACCGAGCTGATTCGGCGATCCCGGCCCGCAGCCAGTGTTAGACTGGGGGAAGAGGGGGGGAGCGAGCACGAGACATCGATTGCACAACGACGTCTAATGTCGCGGGCACCAGGTGGTGCAACATTTTGTCGATGTCGTCGCGGGCACCAGGTGGGCTTGTTCGAATTCCTGATTACGCGACGTCGCTGTACCGTATGGACATCCTTGTTCGGATTCCTGATTACGCGACGCGCCAGAGCTGCACCTGAGCGCTGTTTTGCTGGGCTTCGGCTGCGTTTTGTTTTTCGTTTTGGCAGGGAGGCACAGGACAACCAGGTAGAGCAAAACGAGCAACACAACGAAACCAACACGAAGACAACGTTTAGGTCCAGCCCTGCGACGCGCCGCAAGGATGCGAGGCAGTCCGTTCTCCAGACGGAGCGGGGCTCCCGCGCCAGAGTGGCAGGCCCGAGGGGCGCTGGTCTCTCCAAGGGAGCGCGCCTTGCAGGGAAAAGTGGGGCCGCCTGTAGGGACCTATGAGGAGGGGACTCGGGACCGGAGGGTCTACCTGCAGCATCGCCGATGCATCTTGGGCAGGGAGAGAGAGAGAGAGAGAGAGAGAGAGAGAGAGAGAGAGAGAAAAAAAAAAGGTCGAGGCCCTAGGCTCGTGGACGTCCCTGGCCCTCGGCTCCTCGCAGGTCCTCCGTGGTGGACGCACCCGGGGCGCGCGCCGTGCTCGCTCCTGCGCCCGCTCCCGCCCCCGCCCCCGCCCCCGCTCCTGCCCCTGCTGCCTCCCGCCCGTGCTCCTGCCCCCCTCCCTCCTGCCTCCTCCTGTCGGCTTCCCTTGTCCACACCCTCCTCCTCAGGAGGAGGAGGATAGGAGGAGGAGGAGGAGGAGGGGGAGGGGGAGGGGGAGGGGGAGGGGGAGGAGGAGGAGGAGGAGGAGGAGGAGGAGGAGGAGGAGGAGGAGGAGGCGGAGGAGGAGGAGGAGGAGGCGGAAACGGAGGAGGCGGAGGAGGAGGTTGCAGCAGTCCGCGCAGCCGTGGGTCTTCTTCCCGTCGAGCTACTTCCGCGCGGCGACGATGCGGCGCCTGAGCGTGCTCAACGCGCCTCCGGGCGCGACGTGCCGGACGCCGTGCAGCACTGGCATTGCCAGCGGCCAGGGTGTCTGCGGCCAGAAGCTCGACCCGACGCTCCGGCATCCCCAGTTGTGCAAGAAGGGCCCGGCACGCATCAGGCTGCGCCGGGCTTTGACCGCGGCGCTTGCGCGCCTCCTCGGGGGCGGCCGCGCGGAGATCGACATCTAGCGCGGGAATTGCTCTGTTGGGGGAAGCCGTGTTCAAATCGTAAAGCGTGCGAAAACACCATTATTATCAGGGTTTCAATGCCACGAGTTAACCTGATTGTGAGGTCTTGGCGTTCCTGAGTCGTGCCAGAACACCATTCGTGGGACTTCCACACCGCGAATCAACTATTGCGCCCTGACAGTCGTGAATCGGTCCGAAACGTTGTGTCTGGTACGTCAACCATGACATTCTTGCAAACTTGAGCACGAATATGCGCGCTGTTCAGGCTAGAATCACATTGTGAAAAGCACCCGCCCTCAATCCGTGAAACTCTTGCGAAGTTTTAAGACGAATGTGCGCGGCGCTAAAGCCAGAGCCACATTTTGAAAATTGCCCGCCCTCAAGACGTGACGCTTGTGCAAACTTTTTAGACGAACGTGCGCGGCGCTAGGGCCAGAGCCACATTTTGAATACCACCCGCCCTCAATTTGTGAAACTTGCAATCTTTTAAGACCAATGTGCGCGGCGCTAAGGCGAGAGCGACATTTTGAAACCGTCCGCCCTCAAGCCGTGAAACTTTAGCAAATTTGTAAGAGTAATGTGCGCGGCGCCGAGGCGAGAGCGACATTTTGAAAACCACCCACCCTCCATCTTTGAACCTGTTGCCAATTTTTAAGCGTCAGGGTCATACATGGTGAGAATGTCTCAGGCGAAACGCTCGGCCCGTCATTTCGACCAGCTGTAGGGTGCGACAAGGATGAGTTATTTAGAAGGAGAATATTCATAAGGGAAATAATGGTGCAAGGAGGAAGGAGGAAGGAAGAACGAGTGAGGGATGGAGGGAGGGAGGGATCGAGGGAGGGGGGGAGGGAGGGAGGGACGGAGAGAGGGAGGGGGGGAGGAGGAGAGGAGGAGGAGGAGGATGAGGAGGAAAAGAAGGAGGAAAAGTAGGACAACGGAATGATGAGGAGGAAGGATGAAGTAGGAAGGAGGAATGAGGAATGAGTAATGAGGAGGAGGACGGAGGAGGAGGAGGAGGAGGAGATGGAGGAAGAGGAGGAGGAACACGAGGAGGAGGCGGAGGAGGAGGAGGAGGAGGAGGAAGAGGAACAGGGCCTCATCCCCCTGTCCTCCCAGTTTTCCCTCCTGCTGCCCTCTCTCCTGCTCCCTCGTGCCGCCCTTCCTCCTGCTGCCTTCGTGACATCCGTGGGAGCAGAGCGGACATCTCCCAGCCGCGGACCGTACACCGTGTTCGCGCCGACCGACGAGGCCGGAGGGGGGCGGCCTTGGAGGGGGGCGGTGTGTCTTTCCCCTTCCTGCTCCTCTGCTTCTCCTCGTCTTCCTTTCTTCTCCTCCCTCCTCAACCTGTTCTATTCCTCCTCCTCCTCTTCTTCTTCTTCTTCGTCTTTCTCCTCCTCCTTCTCCTGCCTTCTCTGTTCTCCTTTTTTTCCTCCTCTTCCTGCTCCTCCTCCTCTTCGTCCTTCCTCCTTCCTCCTTCCTTCCGTCTTCCTTCCTCCTCTTCCTTCGCGGAGAGATTCGCGAGGTGCATCTTCATCTTCCCTCACCCGAGGTCCCTCTTCGATTTTGCGGAGCCCACCCAGACTGTCCACTGGCACCAGCGGCCCGAGACGGGCCTTCTCTCAGGGCTGCTCTTCCTGGACGGGTCTGCGAGATTCATGGGCCTCGACGGGCTCACCAGAGCTGGTTGGAGCATAGTGTCGGTGGACAGGTTCGGGAACTTGTTATCGGCGGCGTACGGACCAGTTCCTCTGAGCGTGGCCCCGCATCAGACGAGCAAAGATGGGGAAGACTATGCTGTACATGTGCTGTCACGAGTAGGTCTTCCCCCTTCTCTGTGTTACATCGAGTGCCAGAGCACTTTAGACTCGCTGGCCCGTGGGCCCGGGTTCTCCGAGGGCCCTGGGGCCCCTCGTGCCCACTTTTGGGGTCCCGTGAGGTGCGCGTTTGCTCTCAGCGATTTCGAGTACCACAGGACGTTAGGCCATGCGACTGCCGCCGACGTAAGGGCATGCAGAAGCACCGAACGGGAACGTCGGGCCAACGGGCACGCAGACGAGTTTGCCAAGCTAGGGGCCGAGTGTCACGGGGTCAGTGATGACGACGCCAATGTGTACAGGGGCATGCGGTGCCTCGCAGCCAAGCGTGCAGGTGGGCGGGGAGCGTTGAGGTCACAATGTCGGGAGGGCCCCGTGACACGACAGGTCTAGCGCAGCGCTCGGCAGGCAGCGATGGCCTTCGGCAACAGCCCCAACCCGAGGAAGTTGCCGAAGGCCAGGCCCTGGCCGACGATCAATGGGGGGGTGGAGGTTCGTTTGACTTGGGGGAGGAGTGGCGGCCTTTTTCTCGGGTGAGCGGCCATGCGTTCCTGGCCTGCCCTGTTTTAGAACCCCTCGGGACCCCCAGAAGCAGGACCCAGTTTTGTTGCAGGTGTGGATCGTTTTTCTCTGTGGCTCCCAACGCTGGAGCAAGAGGGCCGTGCAGGCCTAAGACGACTACAGGCGGAATTTCAGACCAGCTGAGAAGGATTCGGCTCGGTAGGTTCCCGTCTTATAAGAAGGACCTGAAGAATTTATCTCTGGGGGCCCACGAGGGCCTCGCCGACCGCAGGGTCTTGGCTCAGACGCTGCAAGAGGATGGCCTGACCCCCCAGGGTGTTTTGTGTGGGGGGTTCGCCCCACGAGAGCAGGTTTTGGCTTCGTTCGGCCTCGTCGAGTCGGATCTATCTTGGGTCAAGGACTTCGGGACCGCCGCCCTCCGAGCCTCGCGCAACGACGTCGAGTCAGACTCGGAGGCCTCCGACTTCGGCTGACAGTCGGTGACGTTCTGGCTTCAGGCCCGTCCCCAACAACCTTGCTTCTTCTCCTCCTTCATGTCCTCCATCTCCCGCCCGTCCGTCGCCTCCCAAGTGTCGTCGTCAACCTTCTCCTTCTAGCAGGTGGGGCTAGTTGGATTGATTCATGCGCCCCCCTCTTGGGCGCACTGGTCCATTCCGGAGGAGGACGATGGATGAGGGAGGAGGTGGAGGTAGAGGTGGAGATGGAAGTGGAGGTGGAGGAGGAGGAGGGAGGAGGGAGGAGGGAGGAGGGAGGAGGGAGGAGGTTGAGGTGGAGGTGTAGGTGGAGGTGAGGTGGAGGTGGGAGGTGGGTGGAGGAGGTGGAGGTGGAGGAGAGGAGGAGGAGGAGGAGGAGGAGGAGGAGGAGGATGAGGAGGAGGGAGGAGGGACGTGGAGTTGGAGGAAAAGGCTCCGTAGCCATTTTGGCTCAAGTCCGGAGCTGTTTAGGCTCAGGACCTGACCTTACTGGCAAGGGGGAGTTGCGGCCCCCACTGTGCCCCTCGTGTGCCTGGTCAGACGAGGATTCTGGCGTTCTGTGAGCTCCTGTTGGAGCATTCTCTTTCGATTTCTCTCCCTGATGGTGCCAGGCCCTTTCCCTCATGCGCCCTGGGTCAAGGAGGGCGACGAGGGCTGGTCTTTTGCTAAAGGTCGCCGTGGCAAGGCTCAAGTCTCGAACTTCGCATGCCCGTCCTGTGGTTGCAAGAAGAGCAGCGTCAATGCCACGCATTGCAAGCACTGTGCGCACCCTCTTCCTCGGCTGCTTCCTGGTGCTGGGCTTCCTGCTGGTGGTCGCTGGGCTGCCTCTGGCCCCCCTGGTTACTGGCTTGAGAACGGCGTCAGTGGCAAGGGGGCGTCCTTCCAGTACGGCGGGGGCAAAGCAGGTGGTCGAGGGCTTTGTGGCAAAGGCAAGGGCAAAGGCTTCTACGGCGGGGACAAGACGATGTGGGACGTGCTGGCTCGTCAAGGAGATTCGTGTGCTGGAGGTCCCGCGGGCGGCCCCCCTCCTCTTCCCGTGGGACCAGTGCCTGCCATCTCAGCGTCTGAGGCTAAGGCCTTGGGCGAGTCGCTTCAGAAAGCGGGAGATGTTGCGACGGCCGCCAAGTACCTGGACATGGCAAAGCATCTGGAGGCGGCCGCGAAGCCCGCTGTTGTCTCGGACCACACGAAGATGCAGCAGGCCCATGCCTTGGTGCGCAAGTTGGAGAAGCAGATGGAGCATCAACTGGGCCGAGTCACGCGTCTTCGGGAACAACTCATCGAAGCGGAAGCCTCGCTACGTACTTCGCGGGCCCACCTTGACCAGGCAGACATGGACTACAAGGAGACGCTGGCTGCCCTGCAAGGGCCCCCTCAGCCTCTGGAGAAGGCTCATCCGATCTCTTTCAAGCTCGAGGATTTGGTTGCAGGAGACGTGGACTTCGCCAAAATCATCGATTGCAGTCATATGCTGGAGGATCTCACGACCGACTACGACGTGGATGCGGCCGACCTCGAACAGTTCCAGAAGAGGAAGGAGGACCTCTCATCGGGGGTCACCAAGCTGGCCAGGGATCTCTTCGCCCAGGTCGCGTCGCACGCCAAGGCCCTTCGTGAACAGCATGAGGCTCATCGGCTTCGAGTGGTGGCGAAAAAGCGCAAGACCACGGAGGGTGAAGTTGTCGGAGGTTCCCCTGACGAAGGTGCTGCCGCGGCTGGAGCTGGAGCAGGGGCGCCGTCTGAAGGTGCCAAGGGTGCAGCGTCTGGAGCGGGGTCGGCTGAGGCTGGTCAGGCCTCGGCTGCCCCGCAGGAGGACATTCGAGCCAAGGTCGACCAGGCTCTCAAGGACTCTGAGCCCCCTGCTGCTTCCTAGAGGCGGCGGGGGGCGGGAATCTGAGAGTGGGGACCCAGGCTTGAAACCTTCCTGGGACCTTTTCAATTTTTTAGCCTCGAGAGTGTCTGTGATAGGCTCCAGGTCTCAGGCCTCTGGGGTTAGACTCTCCAGGCGTTTGCGGTTTTTGCTTGGGAAATGTGACCTCGGGGTCTCGTTTGACGCCCCGCTCTCCTGTGCGGAAATTCGGGTGCCCCCAGATAGCCCAGGAGCCTCTCGCATCTCCTCTCTGCCTCTGCCTGGTGCTGTCGGGAAGCAGTATTGCGTGAAGGCTGGTGAAGCTCGAGGAGATTCTCCAGTCGCACGGTTGCCGCAATCCGAAGCTCTTTTTCCTGGTGCTAGCTCCGCCAGGGCCTGGTCCAGCTGCATGAGGCCCGCCCCAGTTGGCGAATGGCTTCCAGCGACCTCAGCCCCCACGCCAGCTGCCCAGGGTGCTGCCGATGGCTGCATCAGGTTAGATGAGGGTCTTCTGGTTACTACCGTGAACGCCAATTCCTGGGGTACTCTCAAGAACTTCCTTTCCTCGGCCAAGGCGCATGTGGTTATTGCCCAGGAACATCGGCTCAGAGATCCTGTTGCCCTGGACCATGCTTCGAAGTCGTCCAAGTTCCTGGGATGGAAAACGCTGTGGGCGTCGGGACTACCTGGTGAGGGAGGAGGTATCTCTTCGGGAGTTTGCGTATGTGTGCGTGATGGTTTAGGGCTGTTTGAAGCTGCTGGGAATCCTGTTCTTGTTCCTGGTCGAGCTGTGGCCACCATGGTTCATGTTCCTGGGTGCGCACCGTTCTGTGTCTGCAGCCTCTACCTCATCCACAGTGAAGGTCTCTCGGAATCCAATAAAGAAACCTTGAGGGTCGTTGGGGAATACTTAGATTCCTTGGGATGTGAGTTTATCGTGGGGGCCGACTGGAACATGGGTCCCGAGGTGATTGAAGCTTCCGACTTCGGCAAAAAGCTCAGGGCCAGAACGATTGTTCCTGAAGGTCACACCCACTTCCCCAGCAGGGGCCCTCCTGATCGTTTCGATTTTTTCGTGGTGTCGGAGGCGCTCAGCCTCTGCCTCAAGAGTGTTTACGTGGATGATGACTCCAGCATCACTCCACATCGCCCTGTGTCGCTCCGTTTTCACAGCTCCCTGGGCGATCTCAAGGCTCTTGCCTTCCGCCAGCCCCCTGTGTTGCCTGTCCTCCCTCCTGTGGGACCGTCGCCCGAGCCTGGGGATTGGAGTGCTGCGCTCGACTTGGCCAAAGAAGCCTTCGGGGCGGTTGCCAATGGAGATGCGGGCAAGGCTCGCAGGCTTTTGGGCATCGGGTACAAGTTCTGGGCTGACGCGGCCGAGAGAGATCTTGCCAACTCTCTTGGGGCTGATCTCAAGGTTTTCGGCACTCGGGGAAAGAGACCCCAGGTTTACTGGAAGTCCGTGCTGCGCCCTGCGGGGCGGGAAAAGAATCCAGGGTTAAGGTCTATTTCGTGGCTTTGCAATCAGCTACGTGCAGTTAGGTGCTACCTCTCGGGTTCGGCCTTGCAGGAGGCTGGTCGAACGGTGCTCAACTCGATCCTCCAGCCTCCGACGGCCGTGGCGGTGCAGGAGTGCTCTGAGTACCACTCGCTCTTCAAGGCCAGTGCAGCCTTAGCCAGATGCGCCTTTTCCCCTGTGCTGGATCCTGAGCTTGGCTCCGATCTGGATGACCTGATCGATCAGGTTGCTCAAGCCGTCGCTGCTGCTAAGGTCACCGCTGCGAATTCCTCGCGGCTCGAGTGGCAAGAGTGGGTGTGCACAGGTATTGATGCTGGCGGTCGCAACGCGCAGAGGGCTATCAAAGACCCTGTTCCCTGGAAACCCTCCACCACCTTAGCCAGATGTGGAACCATCGTTTGCGACCCAGTGTCTTTACTGCAGGCTGAAGGGGACAAGTTTGCTGCTATTTGGGGCTCTGGCAAAGGCACAGGTGTGAACCATGACCTTCTGCCCCACGGGCGAATTTTAGAGCCTGCCGAGCTCCGAGCTGTTTCCAAAAAGTATCGCACTTCCTCTGCTGTGAGTGTCGACGGCTTCCACTGCAGACATTTCAGCCTTCTCCCCGACGAGGCTTTGCATGCCCTGGCCCTGTGGTTCGCTGTTTGGGAAGCCACTGGAGACTTGCCCAAGCAACTCTCGTGGGTTCTTATGGCCTTGTTGGCCAAGCCGACGGGCGGGTTCAGGCCCATTGGGGTGTTCCCGAGCCTGTACCGTCTTTGGGGTCGCGCCCGTCGTCGGGAGGCCCTTCAGTGGGAGCTCAACTATCCCAGGAAGTACTGGGCTGCTGGAGCCAACAGGGGAGCTGGGGATGTTGTCTGGAGGCAGGCCTTTAGGGCCGAAGCGGGCACTCGCAAGAGAGAAGTGTCGGCGTCCATTTTCTGGGACCTCAGGAAGTACTATGAGCATATCGACCTGAGGTACCTCTGGCAGCAGTGCGAGCTTCTGCACTTCCCGCTGCCTCTTGCGAGACTGGCCATCAGGGCGTATGCGAGTGCGCGCTACCTGGCCCTTGGGGGCATCATCCAGGGCCCGTTTTTTGTTTCCAAGGGTTTAGTGGCGGGCTGCTCCTTTGCGACCAGCCTCATTCGAGTTTTTGCTATGCGGGCCTTCGACGAGGCCCTCGTTTCGGTTCCCAGGGCCCCTGGAGCCACGACTGATTTCGATGCCTACGTTGATGACCTCAGTCTCAGCTGCACGGGAACAGCTAAGGTTGTAGTTGCCAGCCTCACGGCGGGAGCCAAGGCGCTCCACCGAGCCATCACGACGACGCTCGAGTGCAAGCTGGCCATGGACAAAGTGGGTATGATTAGCAACTCCCCTGAAGTTTCCAGGAAGCTTTCGGAGACCCTGGGACCTCTTGTTGGGCCAGCCTGCTCTCGGGTCACCAACTTGGGCTCTGATTTTACTGCGGGCAGGCCTTTTCGTTCTAAGGGGCGCTCGGCCAAATTAAAATCCAGAACGGCTGCTGCGTTGAGGAAGACCAACAAGCTCAAGGGCCTCCAGCAGGCCCTCGGTCGCAGGTGTCTGAAGGTCTTCGCGGCGGGCCCTCTGGCTGGAGCTGTGTACGGCTCCGACTTGTATGGGATTTCGGACAGGGAGCTGCTTAATCTCAGAAGGATGGCCATGTCCTCGGTTAGGCCTAGAGCGCAGGGCAGGTCCCTCAGCGTCTTGTGTCTTCTCTCGGATGATCCGACGTGGCGGGGTTGTTGTGCGCCGCTCATTCGCTGGGCTAAGGAGGTCTGGACCCTGCATACTCACGGGTTCCCCTGGACTTTGAGCTGGGCCGAACTTAGGGATGGCTGGAGCGCCGTCTTCAAGTCGGATGACCACTCGTGGTCCAAGGTGGCTGGGCCGATTTCTGCCCTTCGCATGTCCTTGTATAGGCTGGGCTGGACCATGCCCAATTTTTGCACCTTTGTGGACGATTTCGGCCGCGAAATCTCTTTGACCCTTTCTTCCCCCAAGCTTGTTAAGGTTTTCTGTAAGGAAGCTCTTTTACGGAGTCTTGAGAGGGAGTCTGGGGACAAGTATGGTTGCGGTTTTAGGCTGTGTTGGGACGTGGTCAAGCAGCTTTTGTCTTCTAAGAAGGTTCCTAGCTCCACAAAAGGTTGGATCCGTGCCCAGGCCACGAGAGCTTGCTGGACGGCAAGCGACGTGGCAGCAGCAGGGTACGACTTTTCTGACAAGTGCGCGTTGTGCGGTAAGGACCGCGACACCCTCTTCCACAGGCTCTATGTGTGCCCTGCTGTGCAGTCTGAGAGGGATGCGGTGCTTGACAAAAGTATTCAGAATGAAGCGTTGGAGCTAGGGGCTGATCATCTCGACATGTGTCTGTACCTGTACGGTGCTTTTAAACATCCTGGAGACTATGCCCCTCCGCCACTGACTGAAGGAGGTACCAGCCTGGAATGGTTTGCTGATTTACTTCCTGACCCCGAAGATCCTGCTGCTGCTCCCTCCATCCCCCCCTCTTCAGGGCTCTGGGGGCACCTTTTTATGGATGGTTCGTGCCATCGTCATGTTGTGCGGGAACTTTCTAGGGCTGGTTGGGCCGTTGTCATGGTCTCGGGCTCTGGTGAGTGCCTTGGAGTTTTGAAGGGCCCCCTGTGGGCCCCGTGGCCTCAGACGCCCCAGGGTGCTGAGTTCGGTGCCCTGGCTTGGTCCGCTGTTCAAACGGAAGGCCCTGCTATGTGTTACTCTGATTGTGCGAACGTGGTTCACTTAATGAATCTTGGTGCTGCGGACAGTGTCAGCGCCAGGCGTCAGTATGCGGGCCAGATTATTCAAGCTAGACATTTCTTTGGGCCCAACCTCGTGTCCTTAGAGAAGGTTGAGGCCCACAGAGACGTTGACGAGGAAGGGCTCTCCTCGCATGAGAGATTTGTGCGAAGAGGGAACTTCTTCGCTGACGTCTACGCGAAAGAAGGTGCCAGGCAGCACCCTGTTTTGAGTCCGTCTGAGCAGGAAGCCCTCGATCATCAGATTACAGTGTCTAGGGCGGTCCTGCTCGCGGGAGCGGAGCTCTTGCCACTTTGGCCTAAGTTGGAGTTTCGTGGTCTGACGCGGCGCGTTTCGTCGCCAGACCTGAAGGCCCCTCTTTTAGAGCTCGTCCACGACTGGTCCCAACAGGGGTCCTCCTGGCGGTGCCGTGTGTGTCTTCGCGGTTCCCGTGCCAAGACTCAGCCGCTGGGAGGTTCGTGCCCTGGGCAGTCCCGTTTGGACCAGGGTCTGTTGGAGAGACTAGGCCATCGAGTCATTGCGTTCCCTTGCAGTGACAAGGGTCACCTGTACTTGTGCATGTCGTGCAAGTTTTATTCTAGCGGTGAGCAGGTCCTGGGTTTGTCCCGTAAGTGCGGGCCACCCACGGTGACTGGTTTCAGAA